AAAAAAAAAAAAAAAGGGACAAATGCATTTGGATTCATGCAGAACCAATGAAGGTTGAAATTGTGCAAAACTAACCTCAACTCCCATTACTCAAACAATTTGTGCTGCCTGCAACACTTCAGTGTAAACAATATTTTTCGTGTAATTTAGACGATGTTCATTGAAGAATGGTGGTTTTATCAGCAGCTTGACAGAGGTAGCAGTCTTAGCGCGTGAAATTGCAACATAAAGTTGCCAATGTGAAAATACTGGTTTTCTCAAATAAACGCCCACCCGGTCCAGTGTTTGGCCTTGGGCATTGTTTATTGTCATGGCAAAACATAAATGCAGTGGAAACTGTGTGCGTGTATAGGGGACTGGATATTGCTCATCTGCGGGGGGTTCAAATGGTATCCTATGTATAAAAACACTCTTGCCTGAAAAGTCACGGACTGCAATTTCTGCATAAATTACATTTTTATCTAGTTTTTTACAGATTAGTCTTGTTCCATTACATAATCCCTCAGTAGGGTCTAGATTGCGTAGCAGTATGACCGGTGCATTTTTCTTTAGGCTCAGCCTATGCTCTGAAAGACCACTTGGTGTAAGCGAGTTGATGATGTCACCATATTCAGCTTCATGAGAAGGATTTTCAACTCTATCAAAACTCAAGTACTCGACCAAATCACCGGGGAACTCGTTAATAAGCTTCTTATTGACCTCATCAACAAAACAGTTCTTTGTTGTTAGAATGGCTCGATTCATGGAGAGGTTCATCTTGGTTAAACTTGCTAAATTTGGGTATATTGTTGTTATGAGTTCATCCAGTGACTCCTCGGAAACTGGGTCGGCAAGGGCTAGAGAAGCAGGTATCTTTATAAGATCATCTTCAAACGTTGTTTCCTGCCCATTGCCTATTTTGAGTAGCATTTCAGTAAACCAAGGATCTAAACGCGCTCTCATATTCTCTGTCAATTTTAATTTTTTAAGTTGAGGCCATAGGTCTGAGCTAGTGAGGCAAGCATCAACAATTTCTTTCCTACTGCCCCTACGGACAACCGGAAGCACCTGTCTAAAATCACCACCGAAGACTATCACCTTACCACCGAAAATTTCTACAGACCCACAGAGGTCTTGAAGAGCCAAATCTAGTGCCTCAATGGTATCCCTTTTAGCCATGGGTGCTTCACTGAACCGAGGCACCCAAGCTACTCTGTTTACTAATCCTACAAGACATGATATCCGACAAATCAATAGAGATTTTGAACCTAGAATGCGTTGTCCTACCCCCTGGTAATATGGACACAGCAATACCAGATGTTGTAGTGGTCAGAGCAATACCACCTTTTGAACGCACAATTGCAAGCAAGGCCCTATAAAGAAAGGATTTACCAGTACCCCCAGTCCATCGACAAAGAAGGCACCCTTTTTCTTATCATCTATGCATTTCATTATAACATCAAAGGCCTTTTTTTGTTCTCTGTTCAGGAGGTTAACAGTGTTTAGGTCATCTTCAGAAACAACTATGTTCCTCTCAGCATCAACCTCCTGCGTGTTTTTTTCAGCACCAAATCAAAATCGGCAAGTACTAAATTAAAAGACCTGATATTAGTACCCATCGATTCCAAAAAACCACCAACCTGTGCAAGTGCTTTTAGTTTTGCCTCACCACCAGTTAATCTAGCGTTCCTAAATAAATCCGCACACAACTGTCCCTCAATTTTTTCCCACAACTGTTTTGGATTATTTGGGCGTGCGTAGACCAAGAGATTTGAAAGTAACCGCCGCATTTCGTAAGGCATTTGATACTTGGACGCCTCTTCAAGACATAACTGTTGACTGTTATCGTCCTGTAATAACCCTCTATGAAGTGCTGCCTCCCGAAAATTATCCGCATACCTGCCATTATAAAACAGTAAATCATCAAATGACTTCGGACAACGAATTTTCGACAAAAGTAATCTAAGATAATAACGTTCTCCCTCACTAATATGTACAGTTGCTAATCTACCAACACAATCACGTTTGATTCGTTTTTTCCAACGTCTTTCTGTTGACAACCACTCAAAATACTTTGGGAATTCTACATAAGTGAGATTTTTCGATTGCGCATACGGATCATTAGCATTCATGTAAAAGAATTCAGTGAGCATAGTTTTCCTATTATGAGGATTATTCACAATTCCTTGTAATATATCGCTCTTTCTAAAAGAGACGCGCTGATAGTTCTGTAGATGCACTTGCAGGTGAATGACGGAGGGCTTGATGTCCCACATATGAAACCTAAAAATACGCCAAGCGGCCTCTGGTTGTGAGATCCAACGCGCTGTACGATATTGCTCTATCTCATCAATTTCCTCAAAAGGCTTACTGGAATCTACATAGAAAGCAATTTTATCATGCCCTTACAAATGTACTTATATATATATATATATATTTAACTGCCTTTATTGTGGAACAGACTTCAACATTCAGGTGACAATTAAACTTTGCAAGAAGGTATGGGTTATACGGACTTACCCAACGATTATCCAATTTATGACCCCTAACCTTTATACAAATATTATTATCACGACGCATGTACTTAGGGTAAGCATCACTGATATGAGCAGTTTTGTCACAAAATTCCTTAGGGTAAATTTTTTTTACAATTTCCAGTCTTTTTCATGTACAGATTTTCAGGGTTTAAACGACCATAAGGACCATGCAACATATGCTTGATAACCATGCTATACAAATGAGGTGACTTCATGCGATCTGGAATTTCTGCACTAACAATCCTATCATATTCATCAACAGTGTACAGTTTAAACTGTGGCCTCAGGATGATCAAAAAGTGTGCATGCGGTAATCCCCTCTTTTGAAATTCAAATAGTACAATTATACGCATCCACCTCCCCAGAAATATAATTTTTCAAAATTTTCTTTTTCAAATCTTCAAGTTTAGCTCTGAATATTCTAGCAACAACATCAGACCTATTTTGTGATTCATCAGAGGGCAACAACAGAGCCTTTATTTCGGGCCAATTTGGATTGCACGTCATAGTCAAAAAAATATCTGGTCTTCCAAATTTTTGGACAAGAGTCATTGCATCCATATACCTTCTTTTCATGTTTCT